CTGCCTCTTAAATGTCAGAATTGTATTGCAAATGTATAGACCTTTGTTTGTTGTATCTGTGTGTGTGTGTGTGTGTGTGTGATTAGAGACTGTCCATTAAAGACAAGGAGAAAAGTGAGTACTGTGCATTGTTCAGACAAACCTTACACTGGTCTTATGTAACACGGTATCACATAGAGTCTGGAGACACAGAGGAAGAGACAAACACAAAGAACAGAGAGACAGTCTGTACAAACGAGACTTCATTTCTTATAATAATTGAAAAATAGTTCATAATAAGGATGGGCATTCGATTAAATTCATTATTATTATTACTATTACTAATCTGCATAAATAAACTCAACTTTACAACATATAAACCATCACCACTCTAAAGCCACATCAGCCCGTTTGACATTATAATGTGTTTAATGCAGCTTGGACACATTTGTTTACGTTTTACAGGAACAAAACTTAAAACCACATGACTCATTTGCATAAACTATAAGCGCTGAAAAAAACAGCTCTTTCCTTGTGCGCTGATGGGACTGTGAGGCACAACTCCAGTGTTTGTGTGGGACGCAGACTCGTCTCCTCACGCTACACACAGCAACATACATTCAGTTTGTTGATTAGAAATGAACATGATCGACGAATTTCTTAATGATCAGTTATCGATTAGCCGACTAATGATGCACATCCCTAGTTCATAATCTGTGTACTGTCCAGGTGTATAGTACAGCCCTATCTAATCTCTTGTATATAGCAGAGATATTTTTATTACTGATTTTATATTTTATTTGTTCTTGTACATAGGATTAAAGTCTCTTGTGGATCGATGCAGTTCGTCTCAGTGTAAATCTAAGGCTACGTTCAGACTGCAGGGCTTAACACTCAATTTGGATTTTTTTGTGAAATCCGATGTTTTTTTCGAGGTCATTCACATTTCCAATTAAATGTGACTTGTATGTGACTCCAGTGTGAACATTAAACGGCCCGAAAGTGTCCCGCATGTGCACTGGAGACACGACGACGTCAACCGCAGCGAGCGTCTCTGTGTTTACGGAAGTTGTCCAAACATGGACGCGAGCATTGAGCACCTGGAGATTTTAAAAGTTCCTCTCGTACCGGAGCCAGAACATGAACAACTTACTTGTTTTAAGGAGGAGATTGAGAAGGAGAAGGACGAGGTTTTTGGTCGTGGTGTTTTGTGGGACAGCGGCAGCGACGTCCGTTGAAAGGAACGTGTGGATGTGGAGACGTAGCCAAGAGTGGTGAGTGGTGATGTGCTTCACTTCAGTGACACGGAGTTCATTAACAATTTTCGCCTACTTCAGCGCAGAATAGTGACGTTTGTGGCTTGTTGATAACGTGTAGGTGGATGGATGCACTTTGGCCGTTCAGACTGAAGTCGCATGTCAGAAGATCAGATATGTATCGGTTTCAGGAGCAAATATCCAAGTGTCCTGGGTCACATTTGAAAAAATCTGATCTGTGTCGTTCAGACTGTCATTAAAAGATCAGATACAGGTCACATAGGGGCTAAAAAATCGGATTTGGGTCACTTCAGGCTGCAGTCTGAACATAGCCTATGTCTACCAATGAGACTTCCTTGGTAGGGCTGTACGAAATTATTGATAAAGCAATAATCAAAATGGAGTTGGTCTTGGTCTTGTGTGCCCTGACAAAGACCCCACATGTGTCGAAACGCATGAGTTTGTTCCATGTAACCATTAAAGGACTTTTATTCTAGTGCCTGTGACTTTTTGACCGCTTTTTGCTTTATCGCAGTAAGTTTTTACGTTACAAGCCCGGGTCATCTTCACTGTCTGGAGCACCTACTGTGGACTTTTAGCTAAGATACCCTGAAACTCTTAGACAAACTTTATTGATCGACAAGAGAAATTATCATTATTTATGTATTATTATTTAGTGGCAGGATAACTATGACCATTGACATGCACTAGTCTAGCACCAGCGAACTCTGCAAATACAAGGACTGGATGGAATATTTTAAAAAGTGTCTCCACACGTCTCCAACACTCTGGATCACTAGGAAATGAGGTCCTATGTCCAAAATTCCAGACTGTCCCTTTAACAATTTCACATGTAACTAAATACTCTAAATACTGTTCACTACACCATTGTTTTTTTAGTGCAGAGAGGATGTAAAATCAACACCATTATACAACTGGCAATTATCCTTCACTGAACCACTGCAGACATTTCAACGCAACACTTGGTTTAAATCCTCTGTACACAGTCTGAGGTGATTCACTCACTGTGTTTTGTTTGGTCTGATGTCTGGGGAACAATGCATTCACTCATCTCTGTTATTATTATTATTATTATTTTTATTCTATGGGCTTATATTTATCACACTGTTGCGACTGAAATCTGCACAAATTGACATCATGGGAGCTGTTTAATGTCCTACTGTGGAACATTACAGACAGAGCAATGACATATGTGTAAAAACAAACACAAAGTGACATAGTGAACCTTTTAAAGTTCAGATATGTAGGTTAAAATATATAGATTTTTTAGTTTTCTGAATCCGTGTGTCATTCGTTCGTTCGTTTTTCAATATAAAACCAAAAATAAGAAAACAAAAAAACAACAGTTTTCTTCATTATTTGTCTCCAAAACCAAAATGAAAAAACGGATAATGATTCGTTTTTTCAGTTTTCGATTTTGTGTTTAAATGAAGAATGGAAAAAATGAATAACGGCCGTTTCCAGTTTATGTGACTCCCATGACTGCGATGCCGGACTTTTGCGCTGCACACGGACAGAACCAGGACTGATCCAGGGTCAGGACTGGTTGCGGTCTGGTCCCAGCCTGGTCCTGGTCTGGTCTCGGTCTCAGTCCCGCTCTGGTCCTCGGTCTGGTCCCGGTCTGATCCCGGTCTGATCTTGGTCTGGTCTCGGTTTCAGTCCCGGCCTGGTCCTGGTCTGATCTCGGTCTCAGTCCCGCTCTGGTCCCGGTCTGGGCTCAGTCTCGCTCTGGTCCCGGTCTGATCCCGGTCTGATCCCAGTCTGGTCTCAGTCTGGTCTCGGTCTCAGTCCTGCTCTGGTCCCAGTTTTGTCCCGGCCTGGTCCTGGTCTGGTCTCGGTCTCAGTCTCGCTCTGGTCCCGGTCTGGTCCCTGTCTGGTCTCAGTCTTGGTCTGGTCCCAGTCTGGTCCCGGTCTCAGTCCTGCTCTGGTCCCGGTCTGGTCCCGGTCTGGTCCCGGACCTGGATCAGTCCTGGTTCAGTCCGTATGCAGTGCAAAAGTTCGGCATCGAAAAACTGAAAAAAACTAATCATTATCCGTCTTTTCATTTTGGTTTTGGAGACAAATAATGAAGAAAACTGTTGTTTTTTCATTTTCTTATTTTTGGTTTTATATTGAAAAACGAATGAACGAATGATACACGGATTTTTCTGTCATGTTATAATGTTCCCTCATCAAAAACATGTCTGAAGAGGTTTTCTGTGCTATCTATGCATATTTTAGTAATCTTCCAATCTCTCTGGGGCACTATTCAAACCCCCACAAGCCTCTCTGTGCCACTCAAGCTCCAACACGACTTTTCATGAAACAAAACGACACACTACAACTAGGGATGTGACAATAACCAAAATATCTTGATATCGTATCGTCAAAGATCTCACAATAATATCGTGGACCATCACAATATATCAAATTAAATTTAAGCAAAGTCTCTTTGTTACAAAACTGTAACAAAATAATTTTGTAAAATACACCAAAAAACACTCTTGGCGATATATCGATACAGCAGCCCACGATATCGATATTGTATCATCACATTAAGCGATACTAGGGATGTAACAATAACCGAAATATCATGATATTGTATCGTCAGAGTCCTCACAATAATATCGTGGACCATCACAATATATCGCATTCGAGTTATGGCGCAGCCATAGGTAAAAGAAACAGAGGGAACTACATAGACCATGATCCTTTGCTCCATTTCAGTGCAGACTACAAGAAATAACAGTTCTAAGCACTTTTAAGTCTTAGTTCTTTGGATTAAGTCTTGTTAAAGCATTTTAAGAGGAAAAAGTTCTGTAAGCCTCCACAAAATATCGCAATAAATATCGTACCGTGAGATGTATATCGTGAAAATATCGTACAGAGAGATTTGGATATTGTTACATCCCTAATCGTGAGCCTCCCCACCATATCATGAGCTTTCCCAAGATATCGCAATAAATATAATATATCGTTGGATATCGTCACACCCCTAAGCAATACTCTTAGGGATGTAACGATATCCAAGTCTCATGATACGATATCGTCACGGTATGAATCTCACGGGATGATATTTATTGCGATATCATAGGAAAGCTCACAATTAGAGATGAAACAATATCCAAATCTCTCTGTATGATATTTTCACCATATTTATCTCACGGTACGATATTTATTGTGATATTTTGTGGAGACTAATATGCAACTTTTTCCTCTTAAAATGCCTTGACAAGACTTAATCCAAAGAACTAAGACTTAAAAGTGTTTAGAACTGTTATTTCTTTGTCGTCTGCACTGAAATAGAGCAAAGGATCATGGTCTATGTAGTTTTCTGTCTTTTTTTAACCTATTTCTGCACCATAACTCTTAATTTAAGCAAAGAGACTTGTAATTCGATATTTTTGTGATGGTCCACGATGTTACTGTGAGAACTTTGACGATACGATATCACAATATTTACATTATTATTACATCCTTTAATACGATATATTGATATTTTGATATTTTGGCACACCCATAACAAATAAAAAGTCAAAAAAATTCAATGTAATGTCTCAAAGAAGCACTGAAACCCAACTGTGGTGTGTTCGTCCTTAAAGGAGGCAGTCAGATATCCCGAGCGCGCATAACTCCGCCCCTCTGTGTCGTCGACTTGTTGACCTGATATACAGACACGAGCGCACCTCTCCTCCTGCATACTCTGCCTCTCTCTCTCTCTGTGTCTCTCCTCACCGTCCGCTCTCTCCTCTGTGTGTTTTTTAGTCTAAGATGCCCTAGGCCAGCAGCACAAGAAATAATGTGATGGCTTCGAAAGTGAAAGATGCAGTGGTGTGGTACCAGAAAAAGGTAAGTCCACGATTCTTTTATTTGCATAGTGTGGCTGGCTTTGGTTCGCATTTGAGGGTTACGAAATGACCAGAGATTTTGCATGTTTACTGGTGTCGGTTTTGCTTTAAATGAGGAAAAAAAATTGATTAAAAAAGTGCTTGTTTAATAGTGTGAAGTTTGCTATTCTTGTAGAGTTATAATTAAAGTTAAAATTAAATATGACACTATTTTCTGATCTATTTTATAATGTTGTATCCTCACCACAAACAGACCTGGAGTTGTGTTTTGGTTCATTCACACATTTTTTTTTTTTAACAATGTTTTTATTTAGTTTTTTGTACATTATGAAAGCATAATTACAATCTATTTGCCAGTTATGTACATGAAAACAAAAAAAAAGTTATAGCCATCCATACATTTATTTATTTATTTATTTTTTGTCCAACTTAAATATAAATATATATAAATATACATACCTACACTCAATTTCATTCACACATTTAACAAACTCTGCATATTTAGGCTGAATTCTTGTGCGAATAAAATAAAACACAAAAACTCCAGGTAAGTTTTGAAGCGGTAACAACATTATAACACAACTTAAAGCTCAATTTTGTGTAATATACGACCTCTAAAGCTCACTTTGTCATTTGCCGCATTTGCATTTACATTTGCAACTGTCCAGTGAGTGGTCAAACTCGAAAACAGCACTGTATTTTCTTAGATTTTGTCCTTAAAATGCATGAAACTTGCACATTTTGAATTGTAAAGTACAGTTTATCTGGCAAACTTGGACATTTTTATCAAATTTTTTGTCTCATAGTCTGATAATAACTTTTACTTAATTGATCCGACTGTAATTTGCTTTGCTGCGAACATAAAAAACGATTAATTGTCTTTGTAAACATTTACTCAAGCTATAATATTAACTTTTAATTCAGTGTATCTTTTACAATTTGTGCTTTTCGTGTTTGCTTAAAATGCTTTGTCGTATTGTTGAACATTGTCCTTGCCACTGGAAGAAATGACCACATTTAGAACAATCTGAGCTTCTGTTTTTAGCAAAAAATAAATAAAATAAAAATATAAATTAGGTCATGAATATTATGGATAGGAAAAACACAACGGACATCCTTTCTGGTTCCCAAAGCTCTCACAGTGAAAGTAATAATTATGTGACCTATCCAACTAGTTTTTAATTATAACTCGCAGACGACTTTTTGATTTGACTTTTGATTGAAAACTTAAAAAAAAAAAAGTAATACAAAAAAAAGTACAAGATCAAAGTGGAGATTATATGTAGGGCAGGGCACTACGAGCCAGACGAGTTTCTTTGTATTGATCGGTTTTGTTTTATTACCTGGCAGTTACGTTTTATTTTGTCTTGATTAAAAAAAATGACTTTCAGTTTCAGTTCCTTGATCGTAAAAAATACAGGTTATAATTGCAATTTGAGGTTAAAAAAATGATCACATTTCTTCATTTTTCTTTCATCTCCATTAAAAAGACTCAAACTGATCATTGGTAGGACTAAACCAGGGACTAAACCAGGCACTGAACCGGGACTAAACTGGGACTAAACCAGGACTAAAATGGGACTAAACCGGGACTAAAATAGGACAAAAACAGGACCAAAACGGGACTAAACGGACAACTAAAATGGGACTAAACTGGGACTAAACCAGGACTAAAATAGGACTAAACTGGAACTAAAATGGAACTAAACCGGGACTAAACCTGGACCAAAATGGGACTAAATTGGGACTAAAATGGGGACTAAACTGGGATTAAATCGGGACAAAAATTGGACTAAATTCGGGACCTAAAGGGGGACTAAAACGGGACTAAACTGGGACTTAACCAGGACAAAAATGAGACTAAACTCGGACTAAAATGGGACTAAACTGGGACTAAACTGGGACTGAAATGGGATTAAAATGGGACTGAAACGGGACTAAAACGGGACTAAACTGGGACTTAACCAGGACAAAAATGAGACTAAACTCGGACTAAAATGGGACTAAAATGGGACTAAACTGGGACTAAAATGGGACTAAACCAGGACCAAAACAGGACTAAACCGGGACTAAAACGGGACTAAAATGGGACCAAACCAGGACCAAACCAGGGCTAAACCAGGATCAGACCAGGACCAAACCAGGGCTAAACTAGTACTAGACCAGGACTAAACCAGGACTAGACCAAGACTAGACCAAGACTAGACCAAGACTAGACCAAGACTAGACCAAGACTAAGACCAAGACTAAACTAGGACTGAACTAGGACTGAGATAAAACCATATCTTTACTAAAGTTGCACTGCGCAGCTTTTCTGGTGGAGGGTCTGCTTTTTACTTATCTCCATGGAGATGTCAATCGCTTTGCCCGGAATGTTCCACGGTATGACTTTAAACATTTCAGTCTTGCATTTATCCATTACGGGTGTTTCTGTTGCTCAAAAAATAAAATAAATCCTGATAGTTTAGGTTTAATCTGTACTGTGGAAAATTATAAACAAACAATAACATCTCCATGGAGACAAGCGTTGGGCAGACCCTCCACTAGAAATGTTACGCAGTGCGGCTTTAAACCACACATGTAACCGTCGCATAAACACGCAGATATATCTCCTCCTCTTCTTCTTCTTCTTGTTGTTGTCGTGCTTCTCTCGTGGATGCTGTTGTGTGCCGGACTTCGGGCCCTGGTTTAAACATTAGGGTGTTGTGTTTCGTCTTGTTCCATGGTTTCAGATATCAGATCCTCCGCTGGACTCCCATACAGCTCCCCCCCCCCCTCCTCTGCTCACCTTACACCTGTCCCCGTGTCCTCTGCGGCGGCTTTGTTGGACCCCTTGTTGCGAGTCATTGGACTATACGTCGGCGCTGGGTGGACCTGTCAGGATCATCACGAGGGTCCGATTGACTTTGCTGATTAAATGGACTCGGCGCGTCTCGTTTTTAAACTGTACAATGCGTCGGTTTGTGGCTTTGTTTTGATATTTATTATGCCTCAAATTAGAGCTGCTCGATTATCAAAAAAAAACAAAAAAACAATCAGTGTTACGATTATTTTGGTCAATACTGAAATCAGGATTATTTTGTGGTTTCACGATGCATTTATTCAGCATTTCTATTTGTCAAAAAAAAAAAACATTGTTCTTGTTAATTCACAGAAAACATTCAAATTGAAAATAAATATACTGTATTTTTCGGACTATAAGTCGCTTCGGAGTATAAGTTGCACCAGCCAAAAAATGCGTTAATGAAGAAGAAAAAAACCCATATATAAGTTGCTCTTTTTGGGGGAAAGGTGTTTTGTAAAATCAGAGACCAGGAACCGAGATATCATGTTTAAAAGTCAAGTTCTAGTAAAAACAATAGAAGAGAGAACAACAGACTGTTAACGTCACATATGAACAGTTCTTCAGATAAACTATAACATAAACAACAGAACAGAACAAGTTTAACAAACTCTCCATCTCACTCCAAATCACTAAATCCATTCAATTCTTCATCCTCGGTGTCACTTCTGAGCAACTCCACGACCTCCGGAGGTAAACAGAGCGTCGCTTCCTCTTCTGTGTCGCTGTCGTCAGACTCAGCATCAGTTCTAGTTAGAATTATTCTGGTCTTTCTGAATCCCGACAGGATGTTTTCGGTGTCACTGAAGTTCAGGCTTTGTCCATCCATCCAGTGACTTCAGGAAAGTTTCATGGTTCATCCTCCCGGTGTCACAAGTTTCTCGCTCACTCCAAACTTTCTTTCTGCTGCTCGATTACTGTTTTCGGCTGCATATTTTGCTTCTTGCAGCAGGACAGAGGCTCTTTCTGCAGGAGACATGCGCAGTAGAGCCAAGTGACAGAGGTACAGGAGGAACAGGAGCAGCAGATACTGACACACAAGACTAGAACCTCTCGACTTCAGTGTGAAAATTTTAATACAAAAGGCGCACCGGAGTATAAGTCGCAGGAAACACCCAAACCAAGAAAAAAAGTGCGACATATTGTCCGAAAAATAGGGTAGGCTACAAATATGTACCTTGTATAAAACATAAAATGAATAAAATAAACTTTGAACATGAAACAAGGCAAAGAAAACATAAATGTATCCAAAAAAAACTATATATCCAGCTGTTCTACAATCTCCATATGTAAAAAAATTAAATAATTATACTTATTTATATAAAAACCATCCCAAAATAAACTTGAATTGGCTTTAAATTGAGATCGTTTGACACACAAATCGAAATTGCGATCAAAAGCCTTACCTCAAAAGCTTTATTGTTAGTGTTCGGACACAAACATCTCCCTTTCTAAACATAAAAGTGTCCTCCTCTGCAGCTTTTATTTTTATTTTTGTGTCTTTAAACACGTTTTTAGTGACATCCACCCACAGCTGCCTGTTCACTGCCTGATCTTTAAAGATGTATTGATTTGATCACGATTTAGCCAAAACTCCATTTCTGGGTTTCAGAACACATCATAACATTCTATAGGCCAATATTATTTAGTACAGATGCGGGCAGCTAAAATTAATGTTGTTCAGCTGCAGGTTTTTGGGGTAATACAGCGCGGTCTTGGGCCTAGTCAGTAATAGAAATGATCGGGTTCCATATTTGGGAATTTACTTTTACAATATAAAACACTGAAACGCAGTAATAGATAGGGGTGTGGAAAAATATTAAAATATCAATATATGGGGCGGACAGTAGCTCAGTTGGTAGAGCATTTGCCCACTGATCTGAAGGTTGGCGGTTTCGAATCCAGCTCTCGACATAAACATCACAGGTTGAGCGGTCAGATCCACTGACCCACAGTTTGGCTGGTGTGATTCCAGCTCCCACAGATGAATGCTGCCATTGTGTCCTTGGGCAAGACACTTAACCCACCTTGCCCACAGTGTCTGCGTACACTGGTGTGTGAATGGGTGAGTGGTTCCTTGTTGTAAAGTGCTTTGAGTGCCTTGAAGTTGGAAAAGCACTATAAAAAAATGTGACCATTTACCATTTCATATTGTTTAA